ACACACACACACACACACACACACACACACACACACACACACACACACACACACACACACACAAAAACGCACACACACGCACACACACACACACACACTCTCTTTGTAATCACCTCTTGCTGTTGTCAGAGAATACCTCATTATGTACTTACAGTCAGAGCTTCGTGTGTCACTGCCTGTGTGTGTGTGTGTGTGCGTGTGTGCACCTCTTAAAGTGGTAACAGGGCTGTAATGTGTTTCTGACAGACAGTAGCAACAAAGAGCAGGAGACAGTGTGTGTGCAGGGGGGGGGGGATCAGGTGTTAACTGCGTTCTTCCTCTGCGCGTCACCTTTGACCTTCAGACCTGCTGCAGGTCCCGCTTCGCCTGCTCTCGTTGCGGCGCTCGCTGGCGTCTCCAGGTTTCGGGGAAAGCCTGGTGACTCCAGTGTTCTTCCTGCTTCCTGTGTGTTTCCGTGTTTCCAGGTTGATTCTGGTCACTCTGAACTCTCTCAGGTCGGCCACAGAGGTGGAGTTTATAGATGTAGAAGCAAATCTGAAGCCCTCGATCGGCTCACCTGTCAGTCGAGCGGTGTGGGCGGGACTGTGACGTGTTCTTCCTCCTCTGGAGTTTCTGTAGGCGAGAGTCTGGAACAGCAGATGGAAAAGAATTTTATGAAGTGGATCGGTGCAAACAGGCAGAGAGGAGCAGCTTTTACTGAAAGGAAAACACGGAGTTTGATCTCGTTTGTAGAGTTTGAAACAGCCAATCACGATCAGCTGTCAGACAGCTCCACGTCGCCGGCGTTTCAATAAAATCAACCTGCCGAAACCTTTGCTGTGCTCAGAGTCTCAGGAAGACGCCGCCTGCAGCACGCTTAACCCTCATTATGCATTACAGCCACATTTCAGAGCTCTGTGCGCCATGATTCTCCTCAGGCTCAGATTTATGGCCCCTCGGCCGTCGCTACGCTCCTGCTGGCAGCGACTGAAGGCAGCGTTCAAGGCAAATCAATGGCCTTGTTGAAATCTCACAGCACTGAGGACGCTAATTCAGATTACAGGCAGAAAACAGAAAACGCTCAGTGTGAACTTCATTCACAAAAGAAATCACCCCACAAACCGGCCGGGCGTCCATTTAAAGTAAGAGCAGTTTTCCCTTCATGCTCTGAATCATTAAATGTACCTCAGCAGTCTGCTCTTAATATTTTAGCACCAGTTTGCAGCCACGTTAGCACATGTGTCAGCCAGCAGGGGGCAGAATGACTGCATAAGCTCTCTTTGTTTGTTTGCATCCATTGAATGAATCAAAGTTAGTGTCTGCTGGTTTCTTACCTGTGTGCTGCTGGAAACACTGAGCCGATGCAGTGACGCTGGTTTCCACACGTGTACTGATTTTCTGTTTTACACTCACACGTCTTTATTCTGAGTCACACTGAAGTCGTGTTTCAGTGCTACAGAGTGAAGCTGTGGAAGTGCCTGCAAATGTGCATTCTTCAGGTTTACGTTTTCTTTACCTCTTCATGTCAGACAGAGAATATTTCCAGTTAAATAAAAGCTCACAGCTCTCACCATGCCGGCGTGTCGAGCACTTTCAGTACTGTTTGGGTTCTCAGTCGTCCAGGTCATCGTAGTCTAAGGAGCTTGGAAAGAAAAGCGTCTGGACTTCTTTAAGTTGCTTGAAGACGTTTCACCTCTCATCCGAGAAGCTTCTTCAATTCTAGGGTCACATGGTGGGGAGTCCCAGATTTAAGCCCTGTGGGAGTTTCCCCCCACAGAGGGACAAAAGGACCCCCTGATGATCCTCTACCTAATCATCTGCTTGGGTTTTCTTGACTTTAATAGCGAAGTTAGAACGGTGCGATACCCTCCGCCCTGATGTGGCGGCGCTGTGGCTCAAGTTTGACGTTTTAGCTTTTTACTTGGTAAAGTTCAGAGTTTGGATCAAAACAAAGCAGGAGACCCGCCCATCCATCCACCCCCACCTCCACCCCCTCTGTGATAGCACTGGTTCTTCCATCGTTATTTTCCCACAGACACTGTGGGTGTGTGTTTTGCACAGGAAGTCTCAGAACTTTGTGCCATTATCATATTGGCCCAAACAAAGGATGAGGCTTATCATACGATGAAATGTGCCCGGTTTTCCAACCGGTCTTAGCGGTCGCTGAGCAGTTTGGGTGAAACTCGAGTCTGTGGAGCCACCACCAGTGAAAACACTCCCAGAATTCACTTTGGGAACATGTACATGTTAAATAAAACAGCCAGCATCATGGTTGACTCCAGCCCGTCCAGTACCAGTCCTTGGATGACTGTTCCAGTCTTGTGTGTGCAACCTTATTTTAAGCCTCGAGGACACCGTCAGCAGACACTTCCCCCTGATCTGATAAACCCTTGTTGTTTTTCTAAGATGTTACTTGATCCGCCATGAGAATACTTTTCACCCTGCCAGTCTTGTGCTTTGTCAGGACTAAGTGAGGCATTCAGGGACCTCGGTAATTATTTTGGGCGACGGAGATGGCAAGCAGAGAAGCAGAGGGACAACTGGATTCTTGGCGGAGACCAAGTGTCAACCTCCGTTTAGCAGCTCAGACACAATATCCATCTGTCCGACCTTCTCCTTCCATAAGCCCGCTCTGTTTGTCTTCCCCCCTCTTCTCCCCACACACAGAGGACAATTAGGCTAATTGAACTTAATTGAACACATCATTAGCGACATTCCTCAATCCACTTTCGCCTCCCCCTCTCGCTCTCTGCTGCCCCCTCTAACCTCCATCTAGCCTTCGCCACTGTGGCAGACAGAATAAACCGGTCATTGTTGGTCTATTCTGGTGGCCGCCTCTGTCTGGGGATTCAAACCAGCATCCGTGAGATGAGCTCAGGTTCAGGTTCAGTGACCTGCAACAACTGAGAGGAAGCAGTGAATAGAAGCGGCTGATAGGACAAAAACATCTGTAAGATATGAAAATAAACTACAATTAGCGTGTTTCCTTTCTCTGTTTTCCTTTCTCTCACTCCCATTTTTCTCTTCCCGCTGCTCCTCGTTTGATCTTGCTCCTTCTCTCTCATCTTTTCTTGGCAATAATTCTTTTTTTCCATCTTCTTCTTTTTCTGTTTATCCATTCTTTGTGTTATTTTCAATCCATCTTTTCATCTTCTCCACCTCTGCTCCTCATCTTTCCTCCCTGTCCATCAAGGTCTTAGCGTGACGCAGCTTTAGCGTGTTAACGGCGTGTTTACAGCCACGAGGCCGCCGCTGGTCTGAGGCCATTGTCGCCTCATCTTTGGCTGCTTTGATGTGTGTCTGAGATGCTGTGTGTCTGCAGAGATGCATCACTCTGTAGTAAACAGGTCCAGACTAGACTTGCAAAGACACTCAAATGAGTGAAGAGACCCAGAAGATGCTCCAGACCCGTATCCACAATTATTGATCAGAAACCATCAACTTCCCACCATCCACAAGGCCAGCGTTGAGCTGGTGGATGGCTAGGGTGAGGACTTTCGGGACACCAACATTGAAAACCTCTCAACTGTGACACAAAATAGGTGACACGCTCTGATCTTCAGTATCAGACTAAAGAAACTCAGCCCTGATATCAACCATTAATCAACCTTAGACCAATCATAGACCAGATATAGAGTAACTACAGACCAGCTACAGACCAGCTACAGACCAGCTATAGAGTGAGCATAGACCAGCTACAGACCAGCTACAGACCAGCTATAGAGTAA